TGAAGGTTTGTCCTAGTTTAGGCTCATTTCTGGCTAGCTCTTTTAACTTAGCGTGTTTCTCTTTTGCTATGTTTTGCCTTGGGTTTTTTTTTTAATCTTTTCTTTCTGTATATCTTATTTTTCTGCTTCTTCCACGTCTGTCTGGTGGCTCTGGGTCCATCCTCCTCTTTCTCCTCACTCTCCGCTCTCCTTGTTCTTCTCAAGCCCAGATTTCTCCTCCTATTTATTCTGTCTGCCAACCCTCCCCCCCCCCCGCCCCGCCTATCCCTCTCCTGCCTAGCTATTGGCTGTCCAGCTTTTTATTAGACCAACAATCAGGCAAGGTGAAACAGATGCAGCATACCTTTTCACAAACAAATCCAACATAAGCAAATGCAGCACACCTTTACACGGGCGAAGTAGTATTCCGCAGCATAAACACAGGCAACACACCTTTGCCCAGTTTAAAAAAAAAAAAAAACTATCCCAGCCGGGCATTGGTGGCGCATGCCTTTAATCACAGGCCTCGGGAGGCAGAGGCAGGTGGATCTCTGTGAGTTCGAGGCCAGCCTGGTCTACAAGAGCTAGTTCCAGGACAGCCTCCAAAACAATACAGAGAAACCCTGTCTCAAAAAACAAAACAAACAAACAAATATCCCATAGCAGCGGTCCCCGGATGCAGGATGCAGGATGAAAGGCCACTCTGAGAAATCCCAGAGGTCATCAGGACATGGAAGGAAGGGCCACTTCACGCAGGAGGCGAGACTCTAGAGGCTGGCGGCCTGCGGCGGATGGAGCTGCCTGGCACATGGGCGGGCTCTGTGGACAGTCACCTCTGATGGCCTGGGGTTGTCGGGAGCCGTGCGTGGCGGTGAGGCAGAACCCATGCTAGACAGACAGAGAGGATGGAGGCGGGGATGCTGCGAGAAAATGCGATAATGTGGCATTGGGATGTGCAGCCCCCACGGCAGGAGGTGTGGTCACGAGACAGACATTACCACCACCAACTGCCTATCTCCAGGGGTTCTCCAGTTCCCCAAAGTGAGACTGTACCCATAAAACAGTGGTTTCCCACCCCCCCCAGCCCCACTCACCTTCCACCCCAGCCCCCAGCACCCACTTGCTGTTTCTGGGCCTCGCTGTCACGGGAGAATCGCCCGGGACTTGCTCTGCTATGACTGCATGTCTTCAGGACCCCTCCACGGAGTCATCATGCCCTGGCTTTTCCTCTGCTCTTTGGGTGGAACAAAACTCCACTTGTGTGGACACGCAGGTGCAATGAGATTTTGATGTCCCAGCACCACCTCAAAATTTGTAAAACACGTCCTGATCATCTTCGTTTATTTTCTCAGCTGCCTTCCTGTGATCCCAGTCTAGACACAGCAAGTCATCGTGAAAATGGCTGTCTGCCAATGCTAGGCCTAGCACCCACACAGACGGTGCTTTCAGGGAAGGGGAGTGCCTTCCTGAGCAAGATCTGGAACGGACACGGATGGGAGAGAACAGCGGCTCACAACCTCTGGCCTGCCTGACTCTCCAGTGGACACCAGCTCAGTTTCAACACCGTGTACCTCAAGGCAGCGGCAGACGCCACGGTTCAAAGGTGCGGACCCCAAGACTGCTGCCTGTAGGGATGGCAACCCCAGCGCCAAGCTGTAACACGTTCGGACCAACTAGCTGTAATCCAGGGCTGGACTGCTGGGTTCTGTCTATTTCCTGCAGCAGCTCAGGGGACTCCCGGAGACACTCAAATTGACAGATGATTTAAGAAGTCCACTAGGGCCGGGTGGTGGTGGCGCACGCCTTTAATCCCAGCACTTGGGAGGCAGAGGCAGGCGGATCTCTGTGAGTTCGAGGCCGGGCTGGACCGACAGCCTCCAAAACAATACAGAGAAACCCTGTCTCGTAAACCCCCCCCAAAAAAAGAACTCCACTAGGCTGTGCACCAGGGAGGGCTGGAGCTCCCACCCTCTCTCATCCTCCAATTCAGCTGCCTGAAGCTCACTGACCTTCTTCTTATTATGGGATGCTACCAGAGGCTTCCCTGTGGAAGACAAGCCACAATCCCCTGTCCTCACCCAGGTTGTCCTACCCTGTAACTGCCCCGTCGTTAAGTTGCAATGGCAGCCACAGCTGTGTGCTAGAGACCCAACCCCCACCTGGGAGGTCCCAGGGCTCTTAGGAGCTGTAGGTCAGAAGCAGGGATAAGCACACACTTTTTATTTTTTTTCATGGTATCTGGGAATCAGGACCCTGGGGAATGCAATTTGATTTGTGCCACGGTGCCGGTGCACCAGGGTTGCTTTTACTTACTCCTACCCTAAAAGAAAACAAAACTGGTTACAGTGTTACAGCAGAGAAAGGACTCGACGCCATTGTTGCTCAGCTGGTGAGACTCCGAGAACAATACCCCACCCCACCAACATGGGGTGTTTTCTCATGCTGGGCCGGTGGGAGCCAGTTGAAACAAACAGAACCGTGGAAGCATGTGGAAGCATCTAGAGAGGCTTGCGGTTGACCTTGCTCTCCTGTCTGAGCTGGACCACATAGGCACCCCTTCCTCGCCTTACTCTAAACACGGCGGTCCATAAGGAAACACCTACCACAGGGGGAACTGGACCTGCCAATCACCATCCTTTCCCTGGGACCCGCCTAGGACTCCTGGGAGGGTGGTCGGCACTGATCCTCAGGTGTTTGGCCCAACAGACCTTGTCACAGAGCTGGATGCTCTGGGGGCGCTGAGTTCTCCAGAATCACGGTATGATTCCCTGGAGGTTTCCTGTGCCCACACCCCCCTCCCCTGCAGAAACAGGGGGGCTCTGTCATTTCTAAACGGTGCTGGGCAGAGGTAGCTGTCTCATGACTTTCAGTGAGCCTGCCTTTCTCCGTTTGCCGTTATGCTTTCAGAGAGTGGAGGGATGTCCCTCTCTCCCTGCATGTGTTCAGAGAGGGCTTTCCAACTCTGTCACATCCACCAAGGACCCAAGGACAGTAAGGGTCTGGGTGACAGCCAGAACTGTGGCCGCCTCCCTCCAGGATGCAGAGAGGAGACGGAAGCTGCTGAGGAGCCGGGAGCTGTGAAGGGGGGGGGAACAGTTGGCCGCCTATTAGACCTGGTTCTCTCCCCTCCACTAAGATGATTTGAGATCGAGAAGGTGAGGCTACCAGGGTGTCACTTGCCTGAGCTGCTGAGGAGAGGTCACAGTGACAAACCTCAGAGCTGTGGCTCATCCAAGATTAGAGGCCAAGACATCCAAGGGGATGCGTGGACCAAGCAGAATGGCTGCCAGAGGCCAGCCTTGTGCAGTGAGTGGACAGAGCGCCTCTGTGATGGTGGAGCCTGTGGGGCAGCACCGGGGTGTGTGTGGTGAGTGGGGCAGTGGTGTGTGTGTGTGTGTGTGTTTGTGTGTTTGTGTGAATGTATGTATGTCTGTTGAGTGTGTGTGGTGAGTGTGAGTGTGTGTGCATGCGTGTGTGTGGTGTGAGTGTGTGCATGTGTGTGAGTGTGTGTGGCGAGTGTGAGTGTGTGCATTGTGTGTGTCTGGTGAGTGTGTTATGTGAGTGTGTGCATGTGTTGTGCATGTGTGTGTTTCTGGTGTGTGTCAGTGTGTGAGTATGTGTGAGTGTGTGTGTGTGTCAGTGTGTGTGTGAATGTGGCTGTGTGTGTCTTGTGAGTATGAGTGTGTGTGTGGTGAGTGTGAGTGTGTGGATGTGTGTGTGTGGTGAGTGGGGCAGTGACATGTGTGTGTGTCTGGTGAGTGTGTGTGAGTGTGTGAGTGTGTGCATTGTGAGTGTGTGGTGAGTGTGAGTATGTGTGCATGTGTGTGTCTGGTGAGTGTGTGTGTCAGTGTGTAAGTATGTGTGAGTGTGTGCATGTGTGTCTGGTGAGTGTATATGTGAGTGTGTGAGTGTGCACGTGTGTGTATGTGTGTGTCTGGTGAGTGTGTGAGTGTGTGCATGTGTGTCTGGTGAGTGTATGAGTGTGTGAGTGTATATGTGAGTGTGTGCATATGTGTGCATGTGTGTGTTTGTGTGTGTCTTGTGAGTGTATATGTGAGTGTGTGAGTGTGTGAGTGTGTGCATATGTGTGCATGTGTGTCTGGTGAGTGTATGTGTGTGAGTGTATATGTGAGTGTGTGAGTGTGCATGTATGTGTATGTGTGTGTCTGGTGAGTGTGTGAGTGTGTGCATGTGTGTCTGGTGAGTGTATATGTGAGTGTGTGAGTGTGCATGTGTGTGTATGTGTGTGTCTGGTGAGTGTGTGAGTGTGTGCATGTGTGTCTGGTGAGTGTATGAGTGTGTGTGTGTATGTGAGTGTGTGCATGTGTGTGCATGTGTGTGTGGTGTGTGTGTCAGTGTGTGAGTGTGTGCATATGTGTGCATGTGTGTCTTGTGAGTGTATATGTGAGTGTGTGAGTGTGTGAGTGTGTGGTGTGTGGTGTGGGGCAGTGGTGTGAGGCAGCACTCGGGTGTGTGGCGAGTGCTGTGTGTCTGGGTAGCTCTGTGTGGTGCGTGTGAGGCAGCATTGTGAAAGTTTGACCGTCTTCTCACTCCTATTGGCCCTTGGTGCGGCAGGGTTAGACACAAGTAGTCACTGAGTTACGCTGGTCGCATTGACCTACTTAGAAAGACTGCTGGGTAAAGAATTTGTCCTGGGGGGAGGAGCTTTGTGACCTGAAAAATTTCCCCTTTTCTTCTGTTAAATTGTTTCCAATCATTCTATTAAAGTGTTATTTAATATATTGTTATGTAACTATAATTGGATCATTTGTATGATTTTACAAATAAAAAGAAAAATTAAAAAAGACCGAATCCCATACAGGGCCGCTGCCAAAGGCTGTCGTGAGAGGTGTCCACTTACTCCCAGTGTTAGGACTCACTGTGTTCCAGAGCTCTTCTGGAACTCCCCCAGAACGTTTTATTTGAGCTCTGTGATCCGGACAATGCACTTTGGCTTAGAAACACTCTCTTCTGCCTTCACAACACCATCCTCCTCCACAGTGTCAGCTCCACACCCTGAAATGACTTCCTTCTGTAAACAGACACAGTTTGGAATTTGGAGGATCAATATGGTGAAAAATAATCCTGGGTAATGCAATTTTTTTTGTTGTTGGAAACCCAGAAATAAAATTGGCTCTCAGGCAACTCACAAGCTGACCCCGGGGGAAATCCACTGATGCCTGAAGCCCTGGACAGGCCCTGCTGTGAGGAGTGGTTTCCTGTGGTGTCCACTTCAAAAGATAGCCTGGCGGCTCACACAGGCTCACACAGTGGCCACCGATTAAAGAAATACACTGTCACAGGCCGGGCAGCCTTGGGTCATCTTCTAACGTTCCCTTGTTACTAACAGAGCCTGCGATCTGCCCAGCTGAGGAGCATCGAGGAGAACGGGACAGGTCTGTTTCTGCCTGGAAGGTGTCCAAGGCCAGACAATGGCTCCTTCACCCCATCCTCGAAACTGGGCTCGGGTTACTCCCTGCCCTGGTACCAGGAAATTTATTTTTAGATCAGGAAGACAGTGTGGGGGAGGGGGTGGAGTATGGATCCTGCTAGGGCAAACATTTAGCAACTGGCTCTCCGGAGCAGAAAGACATGCCTGCCTGCTTGTGTTTACTTGGAGTCTTGTCAGAAAGGGGCCGGGCAAAGGGGTGACAAACACACAGTAGTCTTCGCGTGCACCCCCGTACGGACAGATTTCACACGGAGACAGCCAGGGATGCCAGCCGAGCTTTCCTTCTCTATAGACAGCTCCAGGGTTCACCGCAGTCACAGCTTCTGCTTCTGGCTCTCCCGACGGCTTGATGTGGTCTCTGCTGTCTAGTTTTGTGTCAAACCCACCCAGGGTATGTGGGAGCCTCGATTGACAAAATATACCTCCATAATATCGGGCTGCGGGCAAGTCTGATTGAGTCCATTGTGGGTGGCGCCACCCCTGAGCTGGTGGTCCTGGGTTCTATAAGAAAGCTGGCTGAGCCAGCCACGGGGAGCAAACCACTAAACAGCTCCCCTCCATGGTCTCTCCATCAGCTCCTGCCTCAAGGATCCCGCCCTGCTTGAGTCCCGCCTTGGCTTCCCTCAATGGACTGTGACTCCAGATATGTGAGTCAAACAAACCCTGTCCTCCCCAAGTTGCTTTGGTTGTGGTGTTTTACCACAGCAACGTTAACCCTAACTAAGACAACCACCACAGCGCTTAAGAGGAAATCCCAGTTCTGTGAAATTTTGTAGTTGAAATCATGTTATGGGACAGGAAAGCCACAATTAGAATATATTGTATGGGGGGAAAAGCTATTTTCAATTTAAAAGAAAAGAAAAGGTAAACCACTCTCCCCTCCTCCCCAGACCCCAAGTTAACCAGCCCTCCCAGAGGGATGAGGTTCAGTGCACACGGAGTAGGGTGGTCAGGCTGTGGGCAGCACTGAGGTCTGTGACACATTTGTCCATCCAGGCCACGGGAAGTAAGCCTCAGGGTTTTCTAGGGTGGGGTAAACTTGTGGAGTATATGACACTGGGACAACATGCCCTGGAAATGTTCTGGGTGCTCCTAAAACTGTAAATGGATTTAGAACACTCGTAAGAGATTTACCTCATCATTTCTCAGCTTGGAGCAACATCCATCTGGAGCAGGCTGGCATTTGTTGCATTGCAACCTCTTAATAGTGGGAGCAAATATCATATAATATATGGTGTATAAACATAAACTACACACACACACACACACACACACACACACACACCACACTCAACAAGTGTCCCTGCTGGTGTGTATCTCCAGTCACTTGGGGACAAGGAGAGGCCTTGCTTGCTGTGCAGGGAACTGAGTTATTTCCAGGCAAACTCGGAGAAATGACTGAAGTGCACAGCTAAGAGGCGGTGTCTGAGGAATGAGGTGTGTCCCAAACACCCAGTTCTGTGGTCAGTTAGGAAGCATACACATACACACACACACACACACACACACACACACACACACACACACACACACGTGTTTTCTCTCCCTTGTCTCCTCTCCACACAGACCTCATTGGCTGTGGTAGGTTCCGCTCTGCAGACCTCTGGGCCACAGGTCCTGTCTTCTAGGCCCTGCTGTCTGCAGGAGCAGCACTGCTCACAGACACACCCTCTCTGGGAAGCGCCCAAGGTCACCTGCCCTATAACGAACTCCCACACCCTGAGTGTTTTATTATTTTAGTTGCTGAAAAGCAGGGGCTTCTGCTGTTCCTCCAAACACACACTTACAGCCGGAGTTCTCCCTTCCTTCCTGCCTCCTTCTTCCGGCCGTCTCCCCCTCCTTTAATTCCTGAGAACTGACTTAGAGAGCTCCCTCCTTTCTCGTCTCTCTTCCCTCCTCTTCTTCCCCTTCCCTTTCTGATCCCCCTCCTCCCTCCTCCCCTTTTCCCTCCTCCCTTTCTCCCTCCTCCCTTCCCCCTTTCTCTTCCATCTTCTCCTTTCCTAATTTCCCCCTCCCCTTTTCCTCTCCCCCCACTTCTTCATCCTTCTTCCTTTCTTCTTCTCCCCCCTCTCGATTTTCCAGAACGATGTTTATTCACCCCCCCCCCACATCCCTAGTACCCTGTGGTGGGTGTGCAGATGGCTTGGGGGATGGTGGTGGTGTCTTCCACAGCTCTGGGATCCTCTAAGTTCGTGTCATACCCCAGCTGCTCAGGACCTGCTTGAGTAAAATGAATTCTATTGCTCCAGTGCCGGGTAATTCTAGCGTAACTAGCATATGCTGTGCAGCTCCCTCGTTCTCTATAGAATATATATATATATATATATATATATATATAAAACTTGCTGCAGGACATCGTGGGGAAGCATCATTTAAGATGTGTGTGCAGCTCTGTTTCAGTACATCTGGTTAACTGAGCGACACCAGGCTTGCCGAAATTAGCTACAATAATCCATGAGACAGTAAAGAGAACTAACGAAAACTGCACTGTGGAAGTGGAACGCTCTAATGGCCTTGGCGATGGGAGCTCTGAAGCCGTGTTGCATTTGCTTAGAAAGAACGTCCCGATGACTCCCCGGCTCACGCGTGAGCGCGGTGATGCGCTCCTCTCCCTGCAGGTGCCGTCTGACGCTGGTCCTCTGAAACGGAACCCTGTGTAGTCGGTCGGTCGGAGTGTGGTGGCATCCCCCATTTGAGTCCACTTAGTGGGGTGCTGCAGCCCCCAAGAGTCACAGTTTTCATTTGCTTCCTGCACAATGTTCAAGTGCCCAACCCGCTGTGCAAGGCGGGAGAGTCGGCAGACACCGGCCCCTTCGCCTTCCCCACAGAGTCTGGTCATGTGACTTGCTGCGGTCAATGGAGTGTTGGGTGGCTTGGCTGTTCACCATCTCCTGCTCCTTCTGCTGCCCCTGAGAAAAGCCCTGGTCCTAGGAGGAAGAGAGGCAGCAGACAGCCTAACCTCCTAACACCACCCCCTCCTCAGTTCACAACCGCCAGCTAAGCCCAGCCTGACCAACTGAATCTGGGTTGAGTGTTACATGTGTACGGTGTGTACACCTGGCAGCCATGAACCACGCCCACCACAGTGACAGCTGACAGGTGTACTGACCAGCAAAGGTGTGACCGTCTCGGGCAAGGACAGAGGTCAGTTTTAATGAGGCAGCTGTGCTCCAGTTGCAATCACAGCTTCTCCCTTGTGGGGACTCTGGCAACACTGTCCTTGCCTCGCAGGACAGTTCAGAAGTAGATCTCACAGAGCCAGACTCCACCCAGAGGGCGGCAGCGTGATCTGGAAGTTGGACTTTGAGTTGGCCCAGCCTCTGAATTAGGAACATTGCAGGCTTCTGGTCTCCTACATCTTGGGGCAAACTTTGTACCTGACCAGTTCTCAGAACAAGGAGTGTGCACACGCACACATACACATACATACACACACACAACATGAATACACACACAGAGACAGGCAGACAGACACATACACACATACACTCACAGAGAGACAGACACACACACAGAGACAGACCCACATACACACACACATTCACACAGAGACATACACACAGGCAGACAGGCACACACACACACACACACACACACTCACAGAGAGACAGACAGAGACAGACAGACCCACATACACACACACATACACACAGAGAGACATACACACACACACAGAGACAGACACACACAGATAGGCAGACAGGCATGCATGCGTGTGTGAGCACACACATGCACACACAAATGCATACGGCTACACAGAGCACAGACTCGCTGTGAGTTTGCTGGAATGTTTAGGGTCTGGTTATGACTTTCAGGCTGGAGTTTCTGGGGCGAGCCCTCAGAGGGTCACCTGCTTATCAGACCAAACTAAAGAATACATGGCTGTTTTTGTTGTTGTTTGTTTGTTTATTCCTTTTTCTTTTTTCAGATTCTTATGATTCAGGAAGTATTCTTCAAGAGAAAGCAATTCTGAAATCTGCTGTGGGTTTCAGAGAGACGGGGTGAGACACACCCCTGACTGGGCACAGATGTGTGCTGGCATCCCTGCTGACTTTCCAGATCCTGGCTCAAGGCTTCCCTGACTGGGCAGAGGTGCTGCCTGGCTTACCCTGGTGTCTCACCTGGGTCAGAGCTTTACGTGGGGAAGTGGCTGGCAGGCATACCTCAGGTGCCAATGATGTTTGCTACTTATTATCACAGGAGAGCTGAGATGAAAGGCCACCTTGAAAGCTGGCAGACTCAGCTGTTACCATGGCACCCAGAGGCTGGATGGGATTTCTCCTTGTTATGACAGTGCAACTGCACGGGACACAGCACATGCTCTCACTCGGTGAGAGGTTTCTGTGCCCGAGAGCTGAGGTAACTCCTGGAGCCATCTGGCGGCACCAGCTTCCATAAAGAAGGCCACCCTGGGCAGCATTTTGACAGAAAAAGAGGCAGGAGATGCAGACAGGAACGTGGGTGGTGAGAGGGCCTTGATTCTGCGCAGGACCCATTGCACACACTCCTGGTGTGCGTGCATGAGCACACCCGTGCTAAGAGACAGTAACAGTTCATGGGTTCTGTCTCCAGGACCCCTCTCCTGCTGTGACACCCTGTCAGAAAGATGCCCTGGGAAGTGACAGAGGGAGGTAAAGTCCCAACCAGGCAAACAGGAGGCTCCAAGTTAGACCCCCCCCCCCCGTACCATGTGAGCAGTCGGGAGTGGAGGTGTGTGCCTGTTATCCAGGTCCTGGGGCCAGGAGGGTACAGAGACAGGATCCCCGGAGCTTCCTGCTAGCCACTCTAGCCTAATCATGGAGACAAAGCGCTCCACGTCCCAGGGAGAGATTCTGTTCCAAAAAGCAAGAACAGTACCCGGAAAGCAATATCCAAGGCTGACTTGTTGCTGGCTTTCACGCATTAGCTCCCTCTCCTCAAGAACATGTTCCCTTACAGGGGAGAGAGAGAGCGAGAGAGAGAGAGAGAGAGAGAGAGAGAGAGAGAGAGAGAGAGAGAGAGAGAGAGAGAGAGAGAGAGAGAGAGAGAGGAGAAGAAGAAGAAGAAGAAGAAGAAGAAGAAGAAGAAGAAGAAGAAGAAGAAGAAGAAGAAGAAGAAGAAGAAGAAGAAGAAGAAGAAAGCTGCATTGAGGGTATTGTGTGTTGGGTACCATCTTACTCCAAAACAGAACTGATGCAGATGGTACCATTTCATATATGAGCAATAGCCTGTGAAAGACTCATCTAAACAGCCTCAGAATCAAGGCGTGGTCTTGGGTTGACTCTGACCCTAAGACTACACCTTACTGCGCCCAGCACATTGCCCAAGGCAATCACAGCACACTCAAGCCAAGTTCCTTTCTGTTTCTTCTACTCATGTGCACACACACACACACACACACACACACACACACACACACACACACACACTGGCCTTGCACAAGATTCAGGTGAGAGCTGTTGTATATCCGTGTCTTTCACTAGAGCATAGCATGGAGATCTAATCCTTCCATTTTGCCACCTGGGATGGGACCTCCTGGGAGTTCATCTGGCTCACCGGGAGAGAGCAGCTCTGGCTTCCAGGTGTGGTGCCCAACATTCGGAATACCACAGCATTTTGAAGGGGCTCACCTTCATGTAAAATCCACCCTATTTCTGGTTAGTAGGGCCATGTCTGGGAGGGACAGCGTGTGGGAGGGACACCTCCTTGCACGTTAGACTAGAAGTAGCTCCCTCCTTGTTGCTTGAGTCAGAGGCCTCTCAGAATCTGAATTCTCTGTTTTTGAAGGGCTCTGTTAGCCTCACAGGTTCAGGCATCCGACTTCACTACAAACATTAATTTTTAAGATCTGTTTTAAATTATGTGTATATGTGCGTGCGTGCGTGTGTGTGTCTGTGTGTGTGTAGGGGGGGTTATGTGTATCTGTTGGCAGGTGCCTGCAGAAACCAGAAATCAAATCTACTAGAACTGGAGAGTTAGAGTTACAGGTGGTTTCCAGCCATTCAGTGTGGGCCCTGGGAACCAAGCTTGGGTCTTCTGCAAGAGAAACAAGCACTCTGAACCCCCACGCCATCTGTCTAGTCTCGACACACCCTTCTTAAAAACCATGGCATCTTTAGGGGCCTGTGGCAGGTAATTCCAGTGAGGCCCACGTAGAGGTTAAGCGGTACCTTGGGTGCCCGTAACCCCATTTGCACGCTGTCTGGAATCTGTGCTAAGTATGCTGTGAGGGGCTGAGACTGGCCGTTGCTGTCATCTCTATGCAAACACAGAGGGTCTTCCAAAGGTGTGTGGAAGACGGCACATACCGCGTACTGAAGCCTGTGGGATGCTGGGGACTGGGATCATTATTTTCTGGCTTTCCAGGGCCAAACGTTATGATGAACACACAAGGCAAGAACCAGCCCATGCCCAGTGGCTCACCGAGGGGCGGGGATACAGATGGTGCCAAATACGTGCACCGAGACGGTGGGTGGCAGAAGAGCTGAACCCAGGCTAAGTGAGCCCCGGTGAGCACCCTGCTGTGTCTTGGACCCCTGCCGTCACCAACCCGGGCACCCGATGGCTTTGGGGCTGCCTCTAAGGACACTTGTCTCCCGATGTGTGTAATCTAGCCATAGGCACCTGGGTGTGAGTCTACACGCCTGCCTACGCGTCAGTGGTGACCTAGGGAGCCATCATTTGGCGACAGGGGAGGGATGCTCCCCTCCAGCAAGCAGGCAGGAATGATGATGATAAGCTACCCTTGGAAATTCCAGCTTCGTGCCATTTGGCTTCATAAATGGTTCGGCACTTCCGGTGCTGAGTGTGCAGTTGGGGTGCTGCCTTCCTGCGGGGACACTGGGAAAGAATGACTAACGGAGACGATTGCCCGTGATGATGTTCTCTGGAAGCGGCTGGCTGGTTAAATTCCTGAAGGAAGAGCGCATGATCGCTGGGATTTCGATTAAGCACTCATTTCATATCGTCAGAGGAAGAAGCAATTTAATTCGCACTCCTGGCCGCAGCCTCACGGCTTGTCAGAGGCTTGGGGACTGGGTCTCCCTGCATGGCTAAGCTGCATCTCCGGGCCCGGGCTCTAGCCCGTGCCAATGTCAGTCCACCCAGAGAGGCAGAGTGTAGCCCACGGGGCCTCCATTCCTTTCTGAGAAGGCCAGGGGCGCAGTGAACCTGGTTTCCCCGGAGAGCGGCAAGGTGAAAGAGCGGTGCGTGCAGCCAGAGACCACCCGGTCTTTGTGCACACAACCAAATCAGCCACCTTGAGGGTCTAATGAGGAATGGGCCCCTGTGGGTCTGCTCCCCCCCCCCCCACCCATGGCAGCGTCTGTCACTGGCTGTGGTGTTTGCTTCTAAGCCTGTGGGAACTGGACTCTGGTTTTCTGCACCCCAGAGGCAGAGAGGTTCCTCCAGTTGCTTCCTGCTTCCAGGGCCCCCCGAGCCACTGCGGCAAACAGTGGCTTTCAGTGACCATTCCTTCTGAAGCCTCCTGCCTTCCCTGTGTGGCCTCCCCGCCTAGAGCAGACCATCTGCGGTCTTTGGTTTGGGGATAGTCTAGAGTCCTTCCTCTCAGTTATCCTGTCCTCCGAGAGTCCAGACACACTCACACAAGGACATGGAGCTTACATATCATACGGAGAAATGGTCAGGCTTGATACCCGTGTATACAGGTTTTATCCTATTCAGCATCACTTCATGACATCATCCGTGTCAACATAGTTCAAGGCATTTGGTTGTGAGTTCATGGTGACACTGAAGAATGTGCACCTACACCAGTGCCAGTGGAATAAAACTATAGCACATACAGCTAGGGATGGCTGTCCTGGGGAAGAAAGCTGCTCTTTCTTTTTCTACTTCACAGTCCATCATCAGGGAAGCCAGGCAGGAACTCAAGCAGGGGCAGACACCTGCAGTCAGAAACTGAGACAGACTGGCTGGGCAGTGGTAGCAACACACCTTTAATCCCAGCATTTGGGAGCCAGAAGCAGGCAGATATCTCAGTGAGTTTGAGGACAGCCTGGCCTACAGAGCTATTTCTGGGACAGCTAGGACTGTTACACAGAGAAACCTTGTCTTGAGAGACAGAGACACGACAGAAACAGAGACAGAGAGACAGAGACAGAGACCAGGGAGGAGTGCTGCTTACTGGCTTGCTCCTCAGGACTTGCTCAGCCTACTTTCTTAGCTAACCCTGCCCAAGAGTGGCCCCACCTGTATTGGGCTGGGCTCTCCGATGCCAATCATTAATGAAGAAACTGACCCTACAAACTTGGCTCGCTGTTTTATGGAGGCATTTTCTTAACTGAGGTTCCTCTTCCCAGATAATCCCAGCTTGCATCAAGTTGACAAAAACAAAACAAAACAAAGCGAAACTGTAACAGTATGCCTGCTACCAGCTCCAGTGTTTCTCCGTGGTTGCTACTTTAGCTCGCATTCCTGTTATTGAAACAAAGGCAACTGTGAACGGTTTTCTGGGTGAGGCACCGGCCTCATTCATACTGTTTGCACCCCTCCCTCCTCTTGATCACCTTAGGGCGCTGTGACAGTCCACTAGCCTGTCCCTCTAGGTCTGTAAAAGTGTCCCCTGTGACGTTCTCACAGGGTGAACCCATCCGTGTGGTGTGTTTCTGTGTGTCCCCATTGCTAAACCCCGTAGGACTGTTCCCTCTCCCTGTTCCCAGGGGATTGCTTTGTACAGCCCCAGGTGCTCACCCCGCTGTGAGCTGTCCCTCAGGCTGGGACAAGCAGGGGGACACTCTGGAGCGCACTGCCGTGAAAATGGATCCGCTTCAGAAAAGCAGGTATCTGCAAGCCCTTATATGAGTCTGCGCCTTAGTTGCTTCCATGGCTGGCACTCAGCTGTCCCCTTGGGCCACTTTGTGTGACTGACTGTCCCGTGAGGTGCCAGGTTTTGCCTTCACTTCCTCCATCGCTGCGGTGCTCTTGTTCTCCTTGCCCCAAGACAGACCACGTGCCCACAGACTCGTTCCTCTTGGTGCTTGCGTTGATATTAAGCCAGGAGAGTGTGTCCTTAATCCTGAGGTTCTCATTCACCGGCAGCTTCTGTTTCTTAGGAATCCGATGTCTCATGGGTTAATTTCTCCCACCTCTCTCTCTCTCTGAGGAAAAAGAAAAAAAATCCAGAATGTCATTTTTGACATTGACTTTGAAATGATAATGTGTGTGTTACTCTGCAGGCTAAGATCTCAACGTGATCCCAAGAAAACCCTGGGGGCTAATGTGAATATATTATCCCCTACAAGAAGCAGAGTCCTTTAAATTCAACTAGAACATTTGTTTCTCTCTTTTTTTTTCTCATACTGTAAATGTTTTAACTAGTCACTTGCAAAGGACAGCCCTGTTACCAATAGAAGCCGGAGGAGCACTAGCTTCTGGTACGGGAGCTCCGCCATGGAGAGCTTCCTTTGTCCCAGCAATGATAAGATCTGTGGGTTGTGGTCTATGAAATACAGCAGACTGAAGACACGTTTCCTAGTGCCTGAGACAAACATCTACCCCTCTCTGTTTGTCCCAGATGTCCCCTTCCTCATGCCCCGGCTTCCTTCTTCCTATCTTACTGCCCAGGGTCCAGAAGATCAGTGAATGCGGAGTTATAGACCTGCCTGCCTTCACTGGTACCAACGGCTCACAACAGCTTCCAGTGTGGTCTTGGAGACTGTGGCAAAAGAACTGCCTAGCTCTAGGCCAGGGCTGACCCGGATAGTTATGTCAGCAAATGCTCTTCATGGCAGAAGGCAGCCAGGCCTCACTGGGCGGGGCGTGTTGGGGGTTGGGGGGGATGGTGGTGTCAAGTACATTGGGCATGAAAAGTCACCCAATGCGATGTGCTAGTCGTTCCTTACTCCGATGAAACCCCTGTGGGGCGGGGCACCTGCTTGTGGGACTGATGTTCAGGTGAACCAGTAGGTCCAGGCAGATGAAGATCCAGTAGAAAGACCAGAGGTGGTCACCTGTCGCCATTAACTCGGC